GGGACTTTTTTTCTTCGCATTACATTTACAACAGACTCTAGAGCTGAGCCCAACTAAATTATAGATTGGATATTTAATTGCATAATCAGCCCTCCTGATGATGGTGATCATTATAGCAACAACTACTACTACTACTACTACTACTACATATAAGGCACCTTTGTTTACAGACCTTTGTGAATGGAATACATTACATTGTTAAATTGCATTGACCTGCATGTAACCCTCAGGGTGAAGGGCCGGCCATAAATGTCTAGAAATCAATCAATAACAGCTAAAAACTAGTTTTATTATTAGTTTACCCAAATTGCCCCAAGCCAACTCTTCCCATCCATTATTATTTTTAAAAGAAGAAGAAGAAGTGTTATGAGTAAAAATAGATAGTTTTCTGCACCTGCAGGTTTTCATCTGCTAGTTGTTGGTTTTTTCCTCTATTTTGGAATATTGTTCCTGATGTCTCACTGTGACAATGCCAGTCTCACAACAGCCAAGTGACTGTAGACATCCAGAAACATCTTTAATGATAAATGGCATGTTTGCTGACGCTTCACAAGTGCAGCTTTCCTGACAAAATAGTGACATATCTTCAAAAATGTAATTACTCTAATAAAAAGTAGGTCACCGAGTTGCTGACTGGCACGTCTTGGCAATCTTTGTGCAGCTGCTTTTGTGGCTTCCGCTCCGCATAGATTGGGAACTAAAAAGGACATATTTCCTGCTGAACTGCTGAAGAAACCAAGTGCCTGAACCAAAGGAACAAAAGCACTGCCAAACCAGCTAGTCTGAATGAAAGGAGCAGATTTTGTATTGTGTTCAATAAAGAGCCACAGAAAAGACAGCAGAAGTAGGCACAGCTCAGCTACCTTTGAAATTGTGTAAAAACTAGGAGTCTAACCTTCAGTTTGCAACTCCAGGCAGACTTGTGTGAAAGGCCAAGGAAACAACTGGGACTTATTTCCATTGAATGGCCCTGTTTGCATGTAATGCTAAGCCAAACCAAACCATGGACTAGCACAAGTCAGAAAGCATGTGGACTCCTGGAAGGGAGAGAGCTGCTACTTTTCTCCTCCTCTGATCACTCTGGTGCTGTGTTACACTTAGCTAAACCATGGTTTGGCTTAGTATGTCATCTGAACCCAGGCTTGTGATTTAGCTCTCCCCAGATAAACTAGGAGCTGCAACCACAGTTTGACTTCATGCTACATGCAGATGAGGACAGTGTCTACAAGACAGAAAAATCTCCAGCATTCAAGCAAATATCTGCACATGTGTCTTTGACTCCTATCTTCAGTTCTCCTGCTCCAGTGGCCAGAGCTGCTGGGCGTTCACCAACAACTGGAGAGCCACAGATTCCACACACCTGATACAGAACAATTGGCTGCATATCTACAAAATGTGAGGGCAGTTATTTCAAATGTTCTCCATGCCCTACACAATCATCCCTTCATTACTCCTGCACATTGGTAAAACAACAGGCAAACGGTATCTTGATACAACAACAACAACAACAAATTTATTATTTGTACCCCGCCCGTCTGGCTGGGTTTCTCCAGCCACTCTGGGTGGCTTCCAACAGAACACTAAAAACAGAATACTATATTTTTCTGTGTATAAGACTATTTTTTTATGTGGCCATCTTATACACGGGTAGTGCAGAGAGGGGACGGGTGACTGGTGACAGCCGCAAGCAGGAGATTGTCAGCGGCGATTGGGCAGGTGATTGGTGGCTGTGGCAAGGTCTGCTGATGATTGGCTGCTGCTGCGACAATTGGGAGGGCCGTTGGCGGCAGCTGGCAGCAAGCGGGCAGATGATACGTGGCTTCGGTGAAGCATGCAGTTGGCATTGTGGGTCAGGCAGGTGATCTCTCCGCCCCCCCAAAAAAGCTCAACAACCCTGGGCAATCCCACCCCCATTTCCTTAACTTGGTGTCCCTAAAAATAGGGGTCGTTTTATACACGGGGGGGGGGGCGTGTTATACTTGGAAAAATATGGTACTTTACAAATATATATTAAGGCTGTGCAATAAATTGCCATATAGTTGAATTGTATTGAAATAACATTGTGATATGTGCTTCAACAAGGCAATATACTGGTGAACAAAAGGTGGAGACTTAACAGCTTCCCAGGGGGTATCTCAGCTGAACCAATACTTTACAGATACTTTGCAGATAATTTGCAGGCACGGGTGTCTCCAGCTTTGTTTGCTGTCTCCTTTTTCCCTCCTAACCATAAGAAATGAAGATAAGCCCTTGCACAAACCAGCAAATTTTTTCAGCTTCACTGGTATATTTCCACTTAAAGGTAAAGGTAAAGGGACCCCTGACCATTAGGTCCAGTCATGACCGACTCTGGGGTTGTGGGGCTCATCTCGCTTTATTGGCCGAGGGAGCCAGCGTACAGCTTCCAGGTCATGTGGCCAGCATTTTGACATGCACTTTGACTTGCACTTTGATGTGCTTTCGAACTGCTAGGTTGGCAGGAACAGGGACCGAGGAACGGGAGCTCACCCCGTCGCGGGGATTTGAACCGCCGACCTTCTAATTGGCAAGTTCTAGGCTCTGTGGTTTAACCCACAGCGCCACCCGCGACCCATATATTTCCACTTAGAGCTCAGCTAATTATGCAGAGCCTGCTAACAATCCAGGAGGGAACCCTGCCCCCCCCCCCACAGCTGGCTAGACAACCATAGATCCAGCTGCAAAGTAAACAAAGAACATAACAAAGAACTGGAAAGCTCTTCTTTCTTTCTTTCTTTCCTCACCCTCACCCCCACCAGTGGAAAAAAAAGTGTGGGGAAGAGTTTCCATTTTCATTTTCTGGTGGTGTTTATGTTGTTGGTTCCCCCTAAATAGCTTTCTTCCATATGAAAAAGGAAGGGTTTTTTATTATTTAAAGGAGACTATCTTTTTGCTTGCTGTGTGAGAATGATGAGGAGGGTGCCATGGTACACCTGTAGCAGCAGAACCAGACAACTTCATCTGCTCCAGCTGCAATGAAACATGTCTCTCTCATATCAGTCTCTACAGCCACAGCAGGCACTGTAACTCTCCAACAGTTTGACTTCGCCCTAGAGACAGACGGATGCCAACCACATCACGATCGATGTTTGCTGTATTTTAGTAACGCACACATGCAAATTATCAATTATCAGAGAACTGAGAGAACAAAAATGTGTGGCAAACTCAGCATGCCCAGTGCTCTGTGAACATTCAGTTATGGAACCATGGAGAATCTCAGAGGCATTTGTTTCATTTCAAAAACAAAACCAGCTAATGTGGATCTCCAAAATGCAGGTGGAGATTTGAAGCAGGAGAATTTTAGAAGCAGCCCTATTTATCTTGCACATATACGCTTCAGGTTACAGACTCCACTAACCCAGAAATAGTGCTTCAGGTTAAGAACTTTGCTTCAGGATAAGAACAGAAATCGTGCTCCGGCGGCATGGCGGCAGCAGGAGGCCCCATTAGCTAAAGTGGTGCTTCAGGTTAAGAACAGTTTCAGGTTAAGTACAGACCTCCGGAACGAATTAAGTACTTAACCCAAGGTACTGCTGTAATGGGAATAGCACCAATCAGTTCAGAGGACAAGGCTTCCATCACCAGAACCTTTTATATGGAAGTACTGTACTAGGTGGTTTTGGAGACGATGCTTATCCCAGTGATTCTTGCACCAGAGTTAGGGTTAGCAAGATTGTTTTGCTTTGTGAAATAGAGTTGTGTGCAAATGGCCTCTCAAAATTTCCCTTTGTGTTTTAGGGGCAGAGAAATTGGGACAACTTTGCTGAAATTCCCCAGAGGCAGCATATACTTTGCAACAGTTTCTCAGGGTTGGGGCACTCGCTTGCAGTAGCTTAGCTTCACCACACACAATCTCTTTTTCTGTTGCTGTTGGCAGCCTGGCCCCACAAACATAAAGGCCATTGAATTTAATGGGCTTACTCCCAGGTAATGGCTATAGCACTGCTGTCAATGAGAGGAAGTTGAGTCCCTCGAATGCATTTTTCTCTTTCTCTGGGTAAAAGAGGCAGAATGATGGCTATAAAGAGAATAAACTGGCATTTTATGTACCTTCTAAGTTTCCATATATGCTCTGTTTTTCTTCTTTCTTTAGTGATGGCTAAATAGCTCCCTGTAGAGAAATGCATCAACATATGTATCTCAGGATCCTACTTTTGCAACAGTTTTACTAGTTATCTAACACATGGGACTGGGATGTAAGAACTCATTTTGCAAAACTCTATTCCTGTGCAAGTCTCCTTGAAATGAATGGAGGCTTTGCAGAAACAACATCATGATGAATTGTTCCTTAGATTGTAGGCCCGGGAGTTGTAGGTAGAATGCAGGTTTAGCAATTCTCCCAAGGCCTTGCAACAGCAGAATGCCATTTTAAATACAAAGAACACACAGTTCCTGAAACCAAAGAGAGTAACTTACTGGTCTTGTTTGCACGTAGCACTAAACCAAATACAGTGGCTTAGCAAGAGCAAGCACGTATTTCGGTACTCAAAAAGAAATTTACAGCTGCTTTACTCCTCTGTCAGTCTTCCTGTTGCCACTGTCTGGAGCTAAGCCACTGTTTGGCTTAGTATTCCATGCAAACCTAAGCTTGTGGTTTGTTTTCCCCAGACAAACCATGAGCAGTAAACCTGGAACAAATCTGGCTTGTTGGGAGTGATACAAACCACAAGTCCAGGTTCACCCATAACACTAAGCCAAACCATAGCTTAGTTTTTGGTAGAGTGATGACAGCAATACTGGAGGAAGAGGAAAACGAGTTGCGATTTTCCTTGTCGGTACCCACATGCTTGCTTAATCCATAGTTTGGCTTAGCATAGCGTGTGAACCAGGCCACTAACTGCAACCGAAATGACACATGAACACAGAAGCATAGGTACAACGGGTGCTTGCTTTAGGAATGAGATTGAATCATAGAATTGTAGAGTAGGAAGCCACCCTGAGGATAATCTAGTCCAGCCCCCTGCAATGTAGGAATAAGCAGCTGTCCATTATGGGGATCAAACCTGCAACCTTGGTGTTATCAGCCCCATTCTCTAACCAGCTGAGCTATTCAGGCTGTGTGAATTTTTCCTGGAGATTTTCCAACCTATGATAGGGCATTCCATTTGTAGTCCCTAGAGATCATTGCCTGGAATCCATTATATTGTCCTTTTTTATTCCCCTGAGATTTTGAGGGGCAATTTTAACCATGCTGATTAATTTATTTATCACTGCCTGTATAGTTTTTGTGGCTTTTACCCCCCCCCTTTCCCCCCTTTTTTTTTACTTATTTATGTACATGCTATCTGTTTTATTCTATTTTTTTAAAAAAACAAAAACTGCCATAGGAATATGCTTGAAGAGCGGTATTAAATACTTAGAATAAACATTCCCTACCTTGTTTTCTTGCCCCCAATTTTTGGCTTCCTGTGAAATGGCAGAATTAAGCAACAACATTAACATCTTTACATTTTTAGAACTCCCAATGTAGTTTTCCTTTAAAGAAGACTAGCAGGTGGATTCTATATTTGCGCTGCAGAGTAATTTTGTAGATCATCCTGTAATCAGAACACCATGCCTTGGTGCTCAGTTGTGAATAGATATGCTATGTTTCCGTTCAGAAAGGTGTTTGAAATGATTGCTAAGCATTTCTGCACTTTCTAGTGGCATTACCATTATGCTATTTACACTGTGACAGGGGACCCTTTTTCTACCAGGGGGGCAGATTCCTTTCCAGGCAACCTTGTAAGGGGCACATGTTAGTAGTGAGCAGGGCCAGAGTCAAATGTGAGTGGAGCAACAAATGTAAATTTGCCTGTGTATAGTAGACTAGTTTCTAAGGATCCCTCTCTCTCCTCCAACTGGGCAAGAAAGAGGCATTATCAGAATTCAAGGACACAATCCAAGCAGGTGAAAAACATTAAGCGTGTAAAGCATTGAAGGGTGTAGCCTGGAGAGAGTATCAAGAGGGGTCTAGAGGGCTGCATTTGGCCACCAGACCTGAGATTCCCCAAAGAGCATATATGCTATGTGTAATTATTGTAGAATTCTTAAGGACTGGCTCTGAGATATATAAATGATGCAAAGTGGATATTGGGCCAAGCTATCCTGTAGCCTATAATTTGAAGAGGGGAGGAGCTGTATTCTTCTTCTTTGGCGATCACTCGTAGCCAAGTAAGATTGTCTTCCATAAACACGGTTTTAACAATGAGTCCGTAAGTGACTGTGGAGGCCAACTCTGGATCCACACCCATGGAAACACCAGCAAAGTCCACCCTGCTGCCCACAGACAAAAGTAACCAATGAATGCAGGTCTACAAGGAGACATACAACTGAATCAACATGCGCACACAGCACACACAATTATTTCAGAAAATTGCCTTTCCACGAGTCCCAGTAGCACAGGCAGCCATGAACCCACTTCTGCTAATCTCCAGGCATCTCTGTAGGCAGGAGAGGGTCATTGTTCAGTGATAGAGCACCTGCATTGCATACAGGTCTTAACTTTAATTCCTGCCATCTCGCAAGTACGGCTAGAAATATCCCCTGCCTGAAACCATGGTGAGCTGCTGCCAGCCAGAGTAGTTAATACTGAACTAGACGGACACTAAACAGTGTTTCCATGCATTGCTCTGATTCGCCAGAAGCAGCTTAGTCATGCTGGTCACATGACCTGAAGCTGTACGCCGGCTCCCTCGGCCAATAAAGCGAGATGAGCGCTGCAACCCCAGAGTCGGCCATGACTGGACCTAATGGTCAGGGGTCCCTTTACCTTTACCTTAGACGGACAAAGAGTCTGACTTGGTGTAAGGCAAGTTCCTTTGTCCCAAGGGTCCATCTCCTCTTGAGCTGCTTATAACTAGAGTAAAACACACTAAGAAAAGGGAAGAGACTACCCACTGTACAGCACCCAGGCAGGACCAGATAGCGGACAGGTACACAGCCCTCCCTGAGAAAGTGGTTCAGGACCCACTAAGGCAGGGAACAACTCTTTTTGCCAATCAGCCAATGCTAACAGTCAGAACATACAACAAGGTGAATGGCTACATTTAAAACGTAAAGCAGGTAGGATCACAGCATGCATAAAAACATCAAGGCTCGTGTTTAACATGCTTCCATCTTGGCTAATTTCACAAAAAAACAATTTGAGAATATAAGATTGCCCCTGTGTTCCTCTGATCCACTGGCTTGAGCATAGATGTTTACATTCAGCATCTTACTGCTGTGAATTCCTGGGGCATGGTAATGTAAATTTCCATAAAGACTGTTTCTGCACAGGAGGTGCTTTAAACTTGGTGGTTTCCACATTGTATACCGAGTATTTCTGCAAAATGCATTGTTTGCTGTGGAAAGTATGCATCAGCTAAGGGATGTCCCCCACCCCCACAGTTTTTTTGTAAACAGCTTCCATTGCCTTGGAGGTTCCATTTGCACTTCTTAGAGAGAGAACATGCTGTGGAATAGCTAGTCAGGTTTATATCACTTCACTCCTTCAACTGTCTGTCTCCAAGACTTGTTACTATATAAAACTTAGGAATCATCTGTTTTTATTTTCTTATCAGATCACCACTGTTACCAAGTCAAAACTTGGCTTGGCCATAATCTTTCAGCAGTAGTCTGTTGTATAATGTCTCAGTTACTAACGACGCTCTATTTTCAATATTTTAATTAACAAAAGAGGACAAGGAAGGAGAAGCAAGCTAACTTTCTAACAAGTCACAGAGACATTCCGAGAGAAGGATTTTAATTCCAAGAGGAGAAAAAATTCTGCAGATATAAGGGACTTCATTTTCTTAATTTACTAAAGAGAAGAATTCTAGACTGAGGCTGTGCATGTTACCATTTGCACTATATCCAGAAACCCACTACTGTTTCTTTTAAAGCTGTGAACACACGTTAGCCACCATCTATATCTATTCTGTACTTTCTTGAAAAATACTACTGCCGAACCAGCTTCAGTTCAAAGGAAAACCCAGTATGCCTTAGAATGTTGCTTTGCTAATGAATATTGCAAATCCTTCTTTGAGAAAAGAATGAGGCTGCTGCGTTCAGAGCAAAAACAAAATTCAAAGCATTTGTGCTCAAAATATCACTGGAAACAGCCAATAATTTATTTTCCCTTTTGCTGCAAAGCAGAAGCATCTGCTTTGGGGCAATAATTCTGCAAACCCGCACCACCAGGCTGTGACAGCTGGAACTAGCCTGCCGTAACAAGAGAAGGAAAGCCCCATTTAGGCAATAACCTTCAAGCTTCAAAATTTCTGAATCAATTTATATCCGAATGTGGGTGTATGGATGAGTGATGATAAGCCTTGCCTAAGGGACGAAGCTGCTGTGTGGCAACAGAGCTGATTTGCTTGACGAGAGAATCTCCCAGGAATAACTTCATCAAAACTTGAAAACACCATTAAACAACAGATGGTTACCTGAGATGGTGACTGCCTTGTAGTTTCGAGGATGGCGAATGCACATTTCTACCTGTGATGATGAATCAATCATCCATCCTCAAACTAGAAAGAGCGCATGCCTTGCCATCTGTCCTGGTAAAAAAATAAAATAAAAGGTATCAGAGGTGAGGCTGTGGATTAAAGAACAATTGAACAACAACATCAGAGGTCACCAAACATTTTAGGCCAGTGGACACATTTGGAATCCCCAGCTGGCATGGGCAATGGTGGGGACAGATGGAAATTGTAGTTGTCAACATCCAAAGAGCATCAGGTTTGGGAAGGCTGGCTAATGTGGAGCTCAGTTGGTAGAGCTCCAGGCTGTGGGTTCAAGCCCCACGTTGGGCAAAAGATTCCTGCATTGCAGGGGGTTGGACTAAATGACTCTCGTGGTCCCTTCCAGCTCTACAGTTCTATCATTCTATGAAGGGTAGTAAAGGTAAAGGTAAAGATAAAGGTAAAGGGACCCCTGACCGTTAGGTCCAGTCGTGACCAACTCTGGGGTTGCGGAGCTCATCTCGCTTTATTGGCTGAGGGAACCGGCGTTTGTGGACACATTTGGAATTTTAAGAAGGTGTTGTGGGCACCGGTCCCAAATGTCTGCCTGCCTGCCTGCCTGGCTCTCTCTCTGTAATATCAGAAAATGGTTGCTGTGGGGGTGTCACAATGGTTGCCACATGAAATAGGACTTACAAAATGGTACAGGAATATCCTATCCACTCCCCAGTCAGCCATCCCATCAATGAGGGAAGAGGCAGCTACGTCAGCCGCTGCTGTGTTCGCCAATCTGTTCTGAACAGCTGAGTGGCCAGGCCTGGCATCCAATGAAATGAGAGCATGTTTAGGGAATGCTGGAAAGGTGAAGCCACTGGAAACAGGAACTGAGCAGGAAGAGCAAACCGTCTCTTCCGTATTGTGGATTTTTGAGGAGGGAGCATTTACACAGATCTTTCACGGGCAGCATATGAGGTAGTGGTGGTCACATGGGCACCTGCAGGTGCCACATTAGTGACCCTTAATCTATGTGAAAGATGTGCATTGCCTTTGGAGATGAAAGACATGGCCAAAGAGGTGCTTTTCAGCCATTCCGGTCCTCCTGGCCTCCACTTGCTCTTCTGCCTTCCCCGTTTAACCATGTCCCTTTGCATGGTGGGATGGGAAAGGGCACTTAGGTGCCATACATATCATACACCAATGTTTATGATGAATACTGAAGGGGGGGGATGAATTCTACTTTCTCTCAGGCTGTGGTCAGCAACCTAGAGAGTCTCTTGATCAGAAATGTAGGTCTCCCTCAGTGTTGAGTTTGCACCTGTATAATAATAATAATAATAATAATAATAATAATAATAATAATAATAATTTATTTATACCCTGCCCATCTGGCTGAGTTTCCCCAGCCACTCTGGGCAGCTTCCAATCAAGTGTTAAAACAGTACAGCATTAATATTAAAAACTTCCCTGAACAGGCCTGCCTTCAGATGTCTTTTAAAGATAGGATACCTGCTTATTTCCTTCACATCTGAAGGAAGGGTGTTCCATAGGACGGGTGCCACTACCGAGAAGGCCCTCTGTCTGGTTCCCTGTAACCTCTCTTCTCGCAGGGAGGGAACCACCAGAAGGCCCTCGGAGCTGGACCTCAGTGTCCGGGCTGAACAATGGGGGTAGAGACACTCCTTCAGGTATACAGGACCGAGGCTGTTTAGGGCTTTAAAGGTCAGCACCAACACCGTTGTTGTTGTTGTTGTTGTTGTTGTTGTTGTTGTTATTATTATGCCACTGAGCTGCCTTGTTTCCATGCAAGGAGGGTTGGAGGAAGCCCACTTCCCTGAACTTAGAAACCTAGCATGCCAGGAAGAAACATTCAGTTTATTCTTCTCAGTGACATACCCAGAGACATTTTTCAAACAGGATTATTTTGTTCCAGGAAAGCATTCACACATGCAATCGCCTGCCTGCAGCCTTAAAGTGGCACAGTATAGGAAAATGACGGTGTCGCTTTAGCTGATAATATACTGCTTATTGTAAAAAGAACATATTTCCAACAGAACAAGTCAGTTACAACTAATTGAGTCGCACTGCTTGCTCTGTTAGTCATTGAAATCTTCTGCATGCCTTTTCAGAAGTAAGCTCCACTGAGTTAGTGGATATTGGATTGCAGCTTAGCTTCATCCTGGTTATCTTTTGCTGTGTGGGACCTCTGTGTGGGAGGCAGTATTCCTTGACTAAGCAGCATAGAAAAGACCCTTAAACACAGAAGATGCACTGTATTTAAACACTGATTACTAAGGAAGACCTATAAATTAAGGCTTAGACTTGGTAGACTAATTGCAAATAATCAGCGGCCGGTGCTTTTTACAAACGTGAAGATTTCCTGACATCCTCAAGCTTTATTACATAATCAATCCTTGGATAAACAGCTTTCGTATTTGCCACAATTACTGTCTTTAATAGGTTATTTCCCCCCTCAAATTAATGTTTTTCTATTTATATCAGTTAAAATGGATTACTACTAAGCTGAAGCCAGCGATAAACTCGATGTCAAATAAGAAATTAAATGCCCCTTTCCAAGGTAGATGGCATGCTTCCTCCAGCTCCTCTGAGGAGCAGAAGAGATTTTAAAATGAAACAAAAATGCTGCATTTTTGTAGGAGCTTTTGGCAGGAAGGAGGCTAACAAAATAACAGAATAGCCCTGTTTTAAAAGTCGATGTGGAAATAAAAGATTTACAGTTTGGATTACGTGTTTCTAAAAACTATCTGCTTTGGACCAAAGTGTATGGGGGATGGGGATGTGTGTGTGTGTGTGTGTGTGTGTGTGTGTGTGTGTGTGTATATTCACCTGAATCATAGAAAACCCACACTTACCTAAACCTCAGTCCATATATCCTTTGCACACCATGGTGGAAATCCATGCATGATCTCTGACTGAGTACTGTAAATTACAAGAAGGTCATCTCCTATCCTGTGCTTCAGCAGTCTGAGGCATGGGTGACTCCGGGTTGCTGCATTTAGACTCTGCACACAGCGCTAAACAGATATTCTCTGCTATCTGCTCTTGCAGCCAATTCCCTGTTCAGAGGAGGAAGAAGGAAGGGCTGGGGAGTCAGTTCACCCCTCCCTCTTTAGCCATGTAATCAGCACTGTCAGAGGTTTGCAACATATTACTTATTGCCAGCCTTCCCCATCCTGGTGCCCTCCAGATGTTTTTGAGTACAGCTTCCATCATCCCCAGCTGGCATGGGCAATGGTGAGGACAGATGGAAATTGTAGTTGTCAACATCCAAAGAGCATCAGGTTTGGGAAGGCTGGCTAATGTGGAGCTCAGTTGGTAGAGCTCCGGGTTGTGGGTTCAAGCCCCACATTGGGCAAAAGATTCCTGCATTGCAGGGGGTTGGACTAAATGACTCTCATGGTCCCTTCCAGCTCTACAGTTCTATCATTCTATGAAGGGTAAAGTTATATTAAAGGTAAAGGTAAAGGGACCCCGACCGTTAGGTCCAGTCATGACCGACTCTGGGGTTGCAGTGCTCATCTCACTTTATTGGCTGAGGGAGCCGGCGTCCGGGTCATGTGGCCAGCATGACTAAGCCGCTTCTGGCGAACCAGAGCAGTGCACGGAAACGCCGTTTACCTTTCCACCGGAGTGGTACCTATTCATCTACTTGCACTTTGATGTGCTTTCGAACTGCTAGGTGGGCAGGAGCAGGGACTGAGCAACGGGAGCTCACCCCGTCGCAGGGATTCAAACCGCCGACCTTCTGATTGGCAAGTCCTAGGCTCTGTGGTTTAACCCACAGCGCCACCCGCGTCCCTTAAAGCTATCTTACTAGTTATCAAAATAGTACCTATCTATCTATCTATCTATCTATCTATCTATCTAGCTATTTATTTATTTATTTATTTATTTATTATTTTAAATACATTGATCCCAAGGCCTTGAATGTCTTCTTTTCTTTCCCTTTCACCCAGTCAGCTTAAGAATACAATATTGGTAAGGAAATCCAATGTGTGAAACAGTTTTCTGTGCGATTGTATCGATACCTGACATCCTCGAAGGCATTATTGTGACGATGTAGTGATAATGAATATCCCTTTTAACATTTCTGAGTTATGTATTGCAAGGACGCTCCTTCAAGATAAGTTATCTTCTTCTGACATAGGCTCAGATTCCTTTGTTGCCCTAGCTGACTCAAACCCTTTCTCTGTTACCTTTCTCTGTTGCAGAATGATTCCTGGGGGAAACAATACTCATATGCTCTCTTCAAAGCCATGAGCCACATGCTTTGCATTGGTTATGGAGCCAGAGCCCCTGTCAGTATGTCGGATCTCTGGATAACCATGCTGAGTATGATTGTGGGGGCCACCTGCTACGCCATGTTTGTGGGTCATGCAACAGCCCTGATTCAGTCTTTGGATTCATCACGGCGTCAGTACCAAGAGAAGGTAATTTGCTCTGAAATACGACTTTTGTTTTCAAAGCCTCTAGTTATCAAGTTGTGTTAAATCTTGTGGGGTGGAGTTTTCACAGAATCTGTTCAGATAAGAAAGAGAGAGAGAAATGATAGATAATTGCCTGGTTCACATGTAACACTAATCCATGGTTTGTTGACCAAACCATGAACTAACCACAAGTAGACCGTGATTTATTTCTCCAAAGCTTGCCTTATTTTCTAGCTGCTGTCGCCTCCCGTGTTTGTAGCTTGGGGAACTGCTGAGGTGAAATAGCCAAACAAACTATGGTTAAGGAAATTTGCACCAAGCCATAGTTAAAACAAACTAAGGTTCATAAGCCAATGACAAATCATGGCTTCAGATCGTGGCTTGTTGACAGGAAACAAAATATAGTTAAACCAGTAGGTAGGGTTTGGATGATCAAACAGCCATATCTGAATAAACCATGGCTAAATGTTATGTGCTAACCAAGAGGATAAAGCCACAGAGAATATGCTGGGGCAGGGAGGATAATACCATCTGTGAGAATTTCTTAGTATTCATAATCAAGTATCGTACATTCCAAATGCTTATTAAACCCATCCTGTGACACATAAGAAGTTATTGAACTTCATGTGCAGCTTCCTACTGAAATTATCTGGGTGATTTGATCCTGTTGTCCTGTCATATACTACGTTGTGACAAACAGTGTATATGTGTATAAGTATCAGAAAAATGTAATTTCCTTCCTTAAGAATGTCACCCTCTGTAGATTAGAAGGAGCAAAACAGCCACCAACGATTATACCTGCAATTTATTTTGCTTTAGTGTCAGTTATACAGTAGAAAATACTTATAAACAGAGGGAATAAATGTGGGCAAAAGACCAGCTTTAAAGAATAAAGTGTTTATAATACATTGCAAGGAGATTCTGCGGGGTGGGGGTTGAGGCAACAGATACTGTTCGATCAACAAGGCTGCAGGAAATTCAATGAGGGAATGAACTGAAAATAGGAAGGTAATATAAAACTTTCTGTTAACAAAAGGCTCAGTTGATCTAAATGGGGAGGGAACAGAAGAACCTAAAGCAGTAGGCATTTTGATCAGCAGCAGATGAAACCTGATCATAGTATCTTCATCGGGAGAGGGATGCAGTAATGAGGGTTTGTGAAGACAGAGGGTTGATGTAGAATTGTCAATGGCAGGTAGTTGAGTTGGATGTTGGCATTCAAAGTAAATATCTGAACAAAGGAGAAGATGCTAGAGCTGAATCAAGCTTGGAGACCAGATTCATGCTTTGTTATAACACATTTAGACTGCTGCATTGTTCCCCGTCCCATGAAGAGTGTCTAGATCCATGGTTCCCAACGTGGGGCACACACCCACAGGGGGTCAATTTGATTTTTAAGAGGGGCAATTTGATAATGAGTTAGACCAAGTTAATGACCTTTTAGGCTTCCTCCACGTGAACAGGAGTTCACTTTTTGAATAATAAGAATTATATGTCAATGGGGGGGAATCAGGTTTTTAGAGATGTTTAGGTGGGGCATGGCCAAAAAAAGGTTGGGAACCACTGGTTTAGATGCTTCATTTGGTACAAAATACAGCTGCTCAACTACTAGGCAGCATCAGGATTATATTACTCCAATATTGAAAGATCTGTGCTAGTTGCCAGTGTTTCCCAGACTCGGTTTGAGATGTTGATGGTGTGCATGAAAGGATTTTCTCCTGTGTGCCTCCCAGATTGTGGAATATGCTCCTTTCAGAGCTACCTTTGGTCCCCGCCCTCTCTGTTTTAGAAAAGTTAACAAGACACATTTTTATGTGGCCTTTTAAACGTTTTAGTAGTGTTTGAAATGTTTTCTGTTGCTTGTAATGTTTATATTATGTTTTTGATTTTGATTTGATAGTTTTCAGAAATGTGATGTTTCTATAAATACTATAGTACAAATGATTTTTGGCTTGAGAAAATAATGGATTTTAGAATGCTAGTATTGGGTGATTCTTTAAATTTTAATACTCATCAGCTGTTACTTAAAAGATTACGACTTGACAATATATATGTGAGTTCATAGTGTAGTGCAAGAGAAAATGTAAATTTGTAGAAACATTTATTTAGAGTAAACGGTACTAAATACTGGCTTTCCCGACTTTGTATGGAAGCTGAATTAATACCCTTATGTTCAAACTCAGGTAGCATTTAACAATTGCATTTTTTGTACAAGAGCAAGTAAACCATTAAATTAGATTTTCATTTACCCATTTCACTCACATAAACAAAGGAAACACTGAATTAAATGGTTATTTATTTTTCTTTGTCATGAATAAGTATTCCCCCCACCCCAGAATTTTGAAAATCCTGTAATATTTTGATTTCCACAAGTCAGCCCTTGGTGGCCACTTGTTGGTGGAAAGTTATTATATATAAATTAAAACAAATGTAAATCATTAGGCAATTAAGATTTATGTTTGAAATCACCCTTATGCTTTTTGAAGGTCTTTGAGAGCCAGGAGTTCGTATTAGGTTTCTCCGTACATTCCCTCTGTGATATCTGGCACTGGAAGACTCTTGCTATTAAGATCTGATAGGGCAGACTACCTCTACCATGTCCATTGATTGCAAATCCAGAATTACATAATGCATAGTCTGCCTGCAGAGGATGCCCTTTTATTTGTGCATATTTTGGCTGGGTTATCTTAAGACGTTATCTATTTTGAGTCTCTTGGGATCTACCGTTCAGATAGAAAAACTAAATCTTAAAGTTGAAATGATAGACAGAAGCCATCACCTGTTTCTTTGGCTCTAGTACTGCTCTTTTTGTTTCACCCTGTGTCCCTTGTGGGCCTGAAAACTGAATGCACTGAATGATACTGAGTGAGTATCATGCAAGCCTCTGATAAGGATTATTCTCTTTTGCTTACAAAGAGGATAAATGGCTGTTTCAAAGACTAGGTTTCTTTGCTGCCTGTTCTGTCACCACATTTCTGCATGTTAAAAATAGGCTTATTTTCCTGTAAACATTTATTTGACTAAAGGAGGATATAAAATCCATCAGGAGAATTATCAGTATTTCTATGATAAAAGGGTGCTGGGATTCTTTTATATCTGGATGCATTTTTCTTGTCTTGAAATCCAGATAATTTCAAAATGTACTAAGGAAGAGTGCTGCTGTTGTTTTTCTGGTCTTGTTTCTGTCCTTATTTTTTAGCGTTTGTATTTCATGCCACATAATAGATTTCGACTTTGACAGATACTTGAGCAAACTGATAGTAATAATCACTTTGGTGCCACCTGCTTTAGGCAAATAATCCATCAGCTGCATTTAGTATTCAATTTATGTAGGCTAGCTTGCATGATGCAAATGTCAGAACTGCCGAACAGCTTCAACCAACAAAATCCACCTGCCCAAGATTTTGATGGCTGTTTTCAGGACCCTTTGGTATCAGAGGTCTTCTGTTCCCAACCTCTGATATTTCAGTAATTTGAAGCCATTGAACAGTCCGCTTGAACTTTTCAAAATTAGATGGTTTCAGATAGTTTGCAGAATGGACAAAAGGCTGGAAGCTGTTCAGAATTTACAGGAGACAAAAGCAGATTAAAGGACAATGGCTGACAACTCAAATGGCCACTGGACTAGAGCATGCTGAACAAAGGAGCAGTGGGCCACAAAAACATGCCTGCACGCGCGCACACACGCACACACACCATGCAGAGTGCTTACCCCTTTTCCACCAACATTCCTCCATACCATCTCCCTTCCCCTGCTTTTTCAGATCCTTTTCATAGACAGCTCCAAACAGCCAGAATTCTTGGCAGACTCATGATAGCCTTAGTTCGTTGGAGTGAGCAAGTGACTTCTGCTATGCTTGTGGTATTCTTGTAGAAGATCATTGGTTCTTTTTCATCCCCAATATTCTCTGTATATTCGTTGCAATTCTCCAAATAACCCTCCCAAAATATGGTATAGACATTTAATATAAATAAAATACATATGTCATGTATAAATACAGTTGTTTTTCTCCTGGATTCTACCTGCTCTAGAGATTATAAATAGCACAATCCTTTCCCCACACCCCATTTTCTTTGTCATGGGAATTTACCTGTAAAACGTCCTTTCAGCTTGAGTCATGCAGTGGTTTTCTCACAGTATTCCACAGGAAAATGCACAGTAAGCTCATTGCGAAGACAGCAGCTTTTTCATAGCAAAATTAAATCAGTTCTGTGGGAAAGAAGTTAGACGGGGAATCTAACTTTGCAGGCATCTTTCTGTGTCTGTGCTTGAACCTGCTGCCTTTTACTGGGAGATTCCTAATGAAAGAAGCCCAAGGTTGCAATCCTGCAGATCTACGTGTGCACAGCCTGTTCTAGTACACATTACAAGCTTTTAAAAAACCATGTTTCAGGCTGCTGAGATTGGAGGTGTTTGTGACAAGGATGGCCTATCATCTCCACCTGATAGCTCAGTTGGTATAGCATGAGACTCGTAATCTTACGGTCGTGGGTTTGAGCCCCACATTGGAAAAAAGATTCCTGCATTGCAAGGGGTTAGACTAGATGACCCTTCTGGTCCCTTCAACTCTATAATTCTATGATTCTATGATGTTGGTCCCAAAAGAATTCATGGGAGAGCAATACAAAGTGATTAAGAGTTTAGAACCAATTTTCAGCTCTTAATAGGGCGGGGGAGCAATTGGGGGCATATATTTGGTCATTTGTTTTTAATGGAAAGTTTATTATTCTTATTCTTCTTATATTCCACCTTTCCTCCAAGGAGCTCAAGGTGGTGTACATGATTCTCCCTGTTCCCAATTTTATTCTCACAACAACCCTGTAAGGTAGGTTACACTGAGAGGTAGTGACAAGCCCAAGGTCACCAAGTTAGCTACATGGTTGAGTGTGGATTTGAACCATGGTCTCTCAGGTCTTGGTCCAGTCCTCTAACTGCCACACAATGCTATCTCAAAGTTCCCCCTAAATCAATGAGACTACATGCTGAAAACTCGGTAGCCCAGTGTGTGAACAACTCTATACATAGTTCTCTGATGTACTGCTGAATATTTGCATACTAATCGTCATGCTTTAGCAAAGTCCATCCTGAAACTCTCCAGCCAGAAATGAAATAGAAGAATTGAGTGCTCAGATATCAAACATTTGCTAAGACTGGAACCAGGGGTTCAGTTTACAAACCAAGAGTAGCTACCATGGTGCCCTTCAGATTTTGCTGCACTATAAACCCTATTCTTCCCAATGATCAGGGCTGATGGGAGTTGTAGTCCCATACCTCTGGAGGGTCTGAGGTCGAAAAAGTCTGGAATTAACTGGTATCTGAGGCAACCTGAACATTGATAGTACAATACCGAGAAATAAAGGAGCGCTTAGAGGCCTTCAGCTCTAACCCATACATGGCATGCCTATCGTTTCATTGCTCCATGCTAGAGAACTGTATACTTCATGATTCACAACTGCATATGTTCGAACAATGAGAGTCAAGTTACTGGAAAGAAAAACATTTGTGATAACATCGATGAAGGCTTGATCCATATATGCAGGTCATCACCTTGCAATCATCAAGCGATAAACATGTGTGTTAACCAGCCCTCTGTGGGTTCCCTGCTGTCGTTTGACAGGCTGAGAGATTGGTGGAAAATCTTGTGTTTCCTCTACCCTTTTCCGTTCAGTGTCCATGCACATGTAAAGCAATACTGTGATCCATATCGCTGGGTTCACTGAAGTATTAATTTGTTTTTTTCACTTCCGTATTTCAAAGCATTAGTTTGATCCTTGGTGTGCTTTGCTGGCTCTTGTTGACTGCTGAGAGCACATAGTTAATATTTCCGGTAGAAGTGTTCCGTGGACGGCTCCTTTAGCCTGTGCCTTATCTCCTACAAAGCGGAATCAAAGCTTTCTGATGCTATTGAAGATGCAAGATAAAACAAAATATAATATTGCATGATCGATATTTGTGGCAGTTTAGCGGGGGGAAACACAGCAAAAGAAATCTGCTGAAAGGTTTGTTGAAAAAGTACAGTGTGTAAAAAAATTATCTCTATGATAGTCTAAAGATTTTTACCAGGGAAGTGTTTTGATGCATCTATTTTTATTTTGTGCAGTGTATGTGTGTGTAACACAGTGAGCAAAGTAACATGACCAATTTCTGGAGGTCATGTCCCATTGACGTCATTAGGAAGAGTGAATCAGATGCTAGATATTGTCTGGACCAAACCTTATGCAAATTCTGAGACACTTGCATGGAAGTTTGTAAAATAATGACAGTTATTGGTGGGATTTGCCCTTTGATGTGTAGTGGACAAAATCTGGGTGACCGTAAAACACCCAGAAACAAAGGAAGCCCTAAAATCTTTCCACCAGTGGGAAGTTTGGTCCCAGGACCATTGAGCCACATGACATTGTCAATGGGAAGCAATCTCTTACTTAAGTACTGCTGCATAATACTTTATAATTAACATGAAATGCAAGGAGAGAATACAAGGAAGGTGAGAAAGTGAAAGGCAAATGAGTTTGTTGTGTCAGCTTAGTTATGATAAATTACCTCAGGCAGTTTCCCTTATGTAAAAGCCCTACTGTAAGGAGAGTGTCTCATTAATAAGTAGGAGAAAGTGACAAGATGAGTTATAGTGGAGCAATCCACACTTAATATGGTACACACGTGTGATTATAAAGAATGCTATCAAATATCCCTGGAAGAGAAAAAGTTGCTTTAAAGACATATACTATCTTAAACCAACTCTTTAAAGCATGTAGGAAGAATATTCTAAACTGAAACCCCTGTATACAAAGACTCACTCATTGCCAATAGTATCTTCCATTAAAGCAGGAGCCTTAGATAGGCCTAGACTCAAATCATGGTGACTAATTTCTTCTAACATAGCAGAATCCATAAAGGAGGTGATTGGAGTGAGTTATAGTTGTACAGAAAGAAAAATAGGTAAAATGGGCAAAGGCTGCAGCAAGAAAGTGCTGTCAACAAATCAGTTGCAATAATCAAGCTAGCACCAATCGCACAAAATGTCTTCTCATGCTAGTGGTCTGTTTCCATTAGCAGTGTGATGTTAGAGCAACTTAATTCACACTAGATTGCCCTTTCTTTTCCATGAACCAGAAAATCGCAAGTCTCAATTTTCCAGTTCACAGAAGAAGAGCTGAGATCTATTGTGAGTTAGTCACCGTAGTGTTTACAGTATTCCCGCAAGAAGGCAATCATTTGTAAGAGTGAGCTTGAAGCAGAATATCTGAAGTCACTCACTTTACGAGTCTGCCATTCCCTATGTTGGTCTGGGCTGAGAGATGTATGGTTTTCAACATCATGATAAATCAGCTAAATGTCCTGGGCAACAGCTACTACTTAGCAGTCTAAAACTGACACATTTTTAGTTACTTTTAACTCATCGTTACAACTGTTATTTTATAGTACAAAGCTACAAGGGCTGCAGTAATCACGATGACCTGCTTCACATCTCCCCCCCCCCCCCATTTTTACTTGGCACACACACAGTGCTGGATGTACCTATAAGCTAAACAAGCTATAGCTTAGGACCCCACTCTCTTGGGGCTCCCAAAAAAAAATTAAAGGGAAAAAAAACTAGATGTACATTTCCAAAATACGAGATAAAAAACAAATAAAATAAAACCTACATACAGCAACAGTGTTTTGTTTTGTGTTGTGTAGGCTCCTATGATGTAAGTAATGGGCCCCGCCTGCTAGCCTGCTCCCTAAAATATCACTGGTTTGCTCATTTCTACATATAGGGTGCCAGTGTTGTGCAGTGGTTAAGAGCGGTAGATTCGTAATCTGGGGAACCGGGTTCGCATCTCCGCTCCTCCACATGCAGCTGCTGGGTGACCTTGGGCCAGTCACACTTCTCTGAAGTCTCTCAGCCCCACTCACCTCACAGAGTGTTTGTTGTGGGGGAGGAAGGGAAAGGAGAATGTGAGCCACTTTGAGACTCCTTTGGGTAGTGATAAAGCGGCATATCAAATTCAAACTCTTCTTCTTCTTCTTCCTACATTCCGCATGGCAATATGTGCAAATGGCTTTAGATACCTATTAGATCCATAAATTACCATATAGCATATATTCAATGCAAAAAACAGCAACAATTTGTTGTTGACAAAGGACAGCTGGACATATAAAGGGCCCCATTACCTGTAGTAGCTTAGGGCCTCATCAAACCTAAATCCAGCCCTGCACACACACACATCATGATTCATGATATATTGTCATGTTGGATATTGTGAAACCATTACCACGATGTGGACTTCAAACCAATTTAGATGTTGTATTGATACATCGCCCAGCAATGCTAGAGGACAAAGCTTAGAAACACAGGAAGCTACTTCATACTGAATCTTTCCAGTGGTCCATGTAGCCCAGTGTTCTCTACACAAAATGGCAGTGGTCTTCTGGTTTTCAGACAGGAAAAAATTCCCAGCCCTACCTGGAGATTTTGGGGATTGGACCTCAAACATTGTTAGGATTGTACTGTAAGTGAGTCTGGATCCCAGGCCATTGCTTTGTATAACTCCGTATTTAAAGAACATAGAGAGTCACAGTTAAATGGCATAACTATACCATTTGGCCGATAACAGTCCTCCAATCAGTTCTTCATATAAAACAATTTTACTGATTCAGCCTAAGAAATAGCTGAAATTATAGTACATGTCACTCTGGGTGAAATAATGTGAGTAATCAAAACCATTTCATGGTGTGGCTGATGCATGATCAATGTCAAAAAACCTCAGTATGATTTTAAAAGTTTTTTTTTTTAGTCATCTGGGTTTAATGGGTGTTCTCTTTCAGTGCTATTTAGATACAGTTATTTAGCTTGTGCCTTGGGATTCTTAATTGTACCATCTGTTGAACAGTAAAGGAAAATAAGAAGGTTGCTTATATTTATTTACCTTGGTGTTTATTAGTAGTAATAATAGCAAAAGCTCCTCCCCCCCAAAAAAATTAGTTTTTGAGCTATTTTAAAAGAATGTTTTTAGAAATTTCACAAAAAAATCAAAACTTCCAATAAGAGCTGCCATACACCTAGATTTTCCTGTACATTTTAACCAATTTCTGAGAATTCCACCTGGGCAGTATTTTCAGCGGATGAATCCCAGATATGTCCAGGAAATTCTGGACATATGCCGGCCCTATGTTTAGCACAGGAGGGGTCATTTTCTTTAAATTGTGGGATATTTGTCAAGTATAGCCAAAATACCTTCTACTTGGTTTGATTAACAGCTTGTTCATGACTGACTGAATGTGAAATGAGGTATGTTTTCCCCCACCCCACTAGATGACTTCATGTCATCTGATGCACTGACATATCAGGCTAACAGTTAGGCTATCACAGAAAGGCATGGTTCTCACATAACACTAAACTATGGCTTAGCAGTATGCGCGAACCCATCACAGCAGCTTTACTATGGCTTATATAATAACTATGGCCACTTTTCGACCAAGGTTTATAGCTGGTTTATAAAGCTTAGTTAATGTGAACTATAGTTTAGCATTA